TACATGTACATGTACAGATACGTAATGTGATTCTGACCGAGCGTGATAAGCCCGGTGATCAGTGTACTCGCATGCCTCACCTGGTCTAGCGTCGAACTGGTCTACAATAACCCTGGTCTTCTCATTCTCATGGCAGCATATACATTCAGGTGCCGTACTCATTAATTCACAAACACTACAAGAACACCAGTACTCATTAATTCACAAACACTACAAGAACACCAGTATTTGTCTACAGTCCTATCTGGTACCGAAGCTTCCGTTCCGCCATGAATTGTGACTGTCCTGATTCTCGAGAAGTGTGTGTCGACTCTTCGCGTTGCTTTTTCAGACGATTCTCCTCAATTTCTTCTTGTGTATATTCAGGCTCAAACCTATATCCAACTGGTAAATCAATATAAATATCATCATCATCTGAGTAATCACTAGAATCATTGAAATTATCGCTTTCTGTCTCCATCTTATACACCACACGCACTATGTTTACATAATGGCATGTTTCAACAGGGGGCTGTGACGTCACATGACCTAGACTAATATTCATGTGTTTCTTACTGCGGATTTGAACTGCGGGAGCCGGATTTGAAATGGAATACGTTATTGAATGTATTTCTATGTATAAAAACGTTACAGAAGTTGTAAAATTTGACTTCAATTGTCATTTAAGCTTCACAGTGCTTGCTTTACTGCTGTTGAAGTTTGTACAAACTACTTGTAGTCCATGAGCCAGACCCCCAAATTTGATCAATTGGTACCACCTGGGGTGGCAAATCCTCACTATATTTTTTTGAAAGGCCTATGTCCATAGATTAAAAAAAAAACATGAAGCAAGCCGAGACTCACAGCTTAATGGTAGAAATTGCCACTTGTATATGGGCACTCGTGGTGGAGCGACAGATGCTAATTATGGGGTAGGGGAAATATAAAATTGAATAATTTTGCAAGGAATGGACATACAGTGACAAATGACCCCTCAAAATGTTGGTAGTTTTGTCCTCTACACTTTAATATCCATCATATGCAAATCTGTTATGTATGTAGGTCAGCAGAGGTCAAAAGGTCATGAAATTTGACCCCTGCTTAAAATCGGACCCCCTGTCAGAAAATGCCCTACAGTATCGTTACCAATGGTTATTTGTTGGTCTGAGTGTGTCTATTCTGAAGCAAAGAGATGTAGAAGTTGATTTATAGTAAAAAAAAGTTTGCTTTATTTTTATTTATGCTATGGTATGGAACGAGTTTTGACATATTCTTAAAAATGCCTTATTTTGGCGCTAAAATAGGCCAAAAATGTAAAACTGAAATTGCTTGAAATTAGTTGGTGAAATTTGAAAACTAAACCTTCCAAATGGTAATAGACATATTCCTGATACAATTTATACTTTTTTTAATTGAATTTCAAATTAATTAGGCCACCAAAGGTCTATTGCATGCATTTCTTATCATGTCCTATTTTAGCGCAAAAGCAGGCAAAATTGTTACAGACACTACATATTCGGAACTCTTTTTACTGAATCAACTACAGATAGGCCTACCATTATAAAATCAGTCACCTTCCGTGCTCGTGTCCTTGCCCAGTTTTGTATTGAATGGGGCCCGTGTTATGCCCGTTTATGAGTATAACCATAAGTATACATAAGTATGATAACCAAGTGCGACAATTTGACATGGTGATACAAGGATAAGCCCAGAACGTGTGGCATTTTTGGAATTTTTGTTCCGATCATGTAGTGTACGTAACAATTTTGGCCTGCTTTTGCGGCTAAATAGACATGAATTAATAAATGCATGCAAATAGATCTTTGTGAACCTAATTTAATTTGAAATTCAATTAAAAAGGTCATAAATTGTATCAGGAATATGTCTATTACCATTTGGAAGGTTTAGCTTTCAAATATTCACACAACTAATTCCAAACCAATTCACTTTTTAGATTTTGGCCTATTTTTAGTGCCAAAAATAAGGCATTTTTAAGATATTGTCAAAAACTCGTTCATTACCAATAACTAATATAAAGAATAAAGGCAAACTTTTTTTTTTACTATAATAATCAACGCTTCTACACTCTTGCTTTCAGGAATAGACACACTCAGAAACAACAAAATAACCATTAGTAAGATTCCTGTAGGGGGCATTTTCTGAACAGGGTCCGATTTTAGCAGGGGTCCAAAATTTCATGACCTTTTGACGCTCTGCTTGACCTGACACACACAAACAGATTTGGCATATAATGGATATTAAAGTGTAGAGAACAAACTAAACAATCATTTGAGGGGTCATTTGTCAACTCGTTAATGTCATTTCCTGCAAAATTATTCAATTTATATTTTCCCTACCCGACATAAATTAGCGCCTGCCGCTCCCACCACGATGCCGATATACAAGTGCAATCTAACCATTAAGCTGTGAGTTCCTCGGGCTTGCTTCATGGGGTTTTTTCATCTATGGATAGAGCCGCTTTCCAAAAAAAACATAAGTGAGGATTTGCAAAACCGCCAGTGGTACCGAATATCTGGTCTGGCCTCATGGATCTAACTCCTACGATGTCACGAGGTCCACAGACGCTCCACGACCCCGCGACCTGTAGCGAAGCGCGGCCGTGAGACAGCGCGAGAACACATGGTCTCAGCTAGATACGGTGCGGTGCATGCACGGGGTCGAAATAAACCGATTTCATCTTCCTGCGACAATTAGATCTGATGCGGGAATAGTAGCTATGCACATTTCTGGCCAGTCGTAAAAGAAAACGTTTTATCGTTACCTAATCGCCCTTTTGTCACTTTTGTCCATCCTTGATTATCGAGTTATTAGTTTCCCAAGTTATATATATATATATATAACTTATATATATAGAAATTATATATATATATATAAGTCTGTATATATATATATACAATATATATAGTATATATAGTATATATTGTATATATATATATATATATACAATATATATATATATAATTTCTTATTTATTCTATATTTAATTCTATTTCAACCTACTAACAACTCGCTTTCCGACGTATTTCCCTCGACCCCACATCGGTCAACTACAATCTTACCAGCATGCGTTTACAGATGGCTCACATGTGCCGCACGCAGCGCCTCGGCCCACTCCTGACTCCGCACGTTCAATGTGTCGTACTTTTGGGACGGCGACGGCTGAGCGTAATCGCCTTCTCAAAGTCCAGTCCTCGAAATTCCAGTCGATGACGTGCTCAGTAACGTCTGAAACGATGGCAGGTCCATTATCAGAAATCTTCTTCAGCCCACACGATTCAAATCGCGGTCTAAAATGTCATGAAGGGATGATGCAGACGTAGTAGTAGTGACGTTTGGTTCATAATTATAGGTCATAATTATAAGTCATAATTATAGGTCATAATTATATGTCATAATTATACGTCATAATTATATATCATAATTATAAGTCATAATTATAGATCATAATTATAAGTCATAATTATATATTCAGTAATTATAAGGTCATAATTTATATATCATAATATATTAAGCTCAGTATTATAGGTCATAATTTATACGGTCATAATTATAACTCATAATTATAGGTCAATAATCTATAAGTGCATAATTCATTTATCATAATTATAACTCATAATTATAAAGTCATCAATTATATATACATCAAATTAATAGGTCATAATTACATGTCATAATTATAATAGGTCATAATTATAGATCATAATTATAAGTCATAATTATATATCATAATTATAAGTCATAATTATGGGTCATAATTTAAACCTTTTGCTTAGCGCTAATTGTACGTGACTGATGAGGACTATCGGACGTGTGCGCGGATCAGTCACCTGCTCGCTTACGAGGTGACGAGCGTACCTTGTGAGAAGACCCTCAGCTTTTCCAGGGAGACGAGTGCAGGTGTGATGGATGCCTGGGAATGCTCCCATTGCCTCGACCACCTGCCACGACAATCAGCTCATTAATTAATCAGCTAGTTAATGAGCTCGTTAACATCAACGACATAATGACGAGGCAGTTTCGGGG